CAAAAAACATACCAAACTTGGCCATAGACTTCAGCAGTGTTTGGCCACTGTGGCCCATTGAGCCCTTTATCTCCAGGGCTACTTAGGTCTTGTTCTCTTTTCTGCAAAACGTTGTTATAGTTTTACACCTTCACGTAACCAGTACATGTGCGTTCTAAAATGTGGGAAATAGCGCACCTGCAAATTACAGTCTTGGCATCAGTTATCAATTAACTTAATCTGCTTCAAGGCTATGTTTAAAACATCATTTCAGGAGGAGATAGAAAAGAAAAGCACTAGAACTTGGAGAAGCTAGGAATTTGTGGCATTCTTTGAAGACAGAGAATCCAGTGCTGCCAGGAGGCAATAAATATCAACAGACTGGGAAAGTGCCTGCAACCAGAAGGTGGAAGTTGAACAAGATCCCTTGTTCACAATACAGTTAGAGGAAAGTAGATGTTCTTGGAGTTGCTGCTTATGTGATAACAAGTTAAAAAGGTTCTCTGTCCTGGCTGTAGAGTTTGTGCTGTTTGGGATCTGATGTTGCTGGAAACGGGATCGATGGAAATTAGTCAACTAGCTTAGTGAGTGGCCAGCCAAGCACCAACATGACAGAAGAGCAGGAGTTATGGAGTGTAAGAAGATGACAATCTATTTTAATACCCCTTGTACAAGGGGCTTAGCTTTCTATGACTGCTCACAAGCCTGTGAGCATGGGCTGCCCTTTAAGGAGTCCTTGGCAAGTACAGGGCACATTTGCAGCTTTGGGTCTGTGAGACATCTGGACAAATGTTTTGCTTCTTTTGTCCTTTCTCTTCCTGTGAGAAGCTTGGTTAGAGCAGCAAGGGCACTTTTGAGTATGAGATGAGCATCTCTGGATCTTCTAACCATGTTGCAGTTCAGACTAGCTACAGGCCATGAGTCCAAACCATTCTCTATGTGCCAGCAAATTCAAAAAGTGTGGTTCCTGATTGCTAGAATGGTCTCTTCTAATGTCACAAACTTAAAAAAAAAAAAAATTGAACAGCTTCTAGATTCCAGTTCAGTATTAAGATGAATTCTTACTGCTTTTTCTTCCTTGGCTCCACTGGTTTGTACAAGTTTAAGGGGAAACTCTTCACCACAGAATGAATTAAATCAAGTTGAAAATTTTGTAGCAAAAACTTTGTTTAATGCCACTTTTGTTGATTGTTGAAGGCACTTAATTTGTCTTTAGTAGGTCTGTCAACTGTCTTGATCCAAGCTACTAGCTAGAATGTTAAACATGAGCTCAAGCCATTTCTTTCTGGAAGGGCTGTGAAACTGTATTTGAGAGAGAATTGTGGAAGAAAGAACTTGTTTATAGGCAGGGCCTGTTGGTATCCAGCAAAAAGAGTGCATGGAATAGCCTAATTTGTCTGAAATAAGGTAGTTATGTTTCATTTTTTTGGAGTCTGAGTTGAATCTCTGACAGATACTAATGGCCATAGAAGCTTATGGGACACTTTGGGACGCTGCAAATGGATCTTGGGAAGGCTGTTGCTGCCTGAATATTAAAAGAATAGTATTCATAGGAGAAAAATGCTCTATTCCACTGTGGAGAACTTGTGGCTATTAGATGACTACTTTTTTTGCCAAGTGGCTGATTGTTAAAGCAGAAAAACCTTCTGCCAAAGAAGAAAAGAAGTTGGATTCCTTCCACAGCTAGAATTGGGTTACCCCAGTTTATTTAGGTGTTCAGAAAACACTTTAATTGTTACCTCATGCTTGCTTCAGAGGAAATAGTCTTAATAATCCTGCACTTCTGACCCATTGCTAAAATTACTTGGGAAAAGGACTGTTTCATTTGCTAGTCGTCCTTAATGAGCTTTTCGCCTGATGTTGTCATATCACTGGTAGTTGTGCTATAATTGGACTTGACAGAAGAACTGAGACTGAGCCAGTGGCAATGTTTCTATAAATCAGCGTTGCTCAGATCTTTGGAACTGCATTTCTCATGGAAATGCAGTTTTCTGTCTTTACAGGGGCAGGCATCCTTATTGTTTAAAAAATAAATGTCAGATGAAATACTAGGAATGGCATTCACTTTGAGGTAATACTCTGCTCTTGCAGTTTGAGTTTCCTGGTGACTGATTTCAGGAGTGGGTTTACATACTGCCTTTGAAATGGAACAGTCCCTACCTATGATCTTTAGAGTTCAGGGGGATGCAGTATCTGCTGAAGTCATCTTGCATGCAAAAAGAATAATTGCATGCAAAAAGTTGCATTAGGATTTAACAGGGCAAGGCTTAGTGCAATGTGCAGATGACCCTAAAGAATTGTTTCACACAACTGTGTTTCTTATTCATGGGAGTAAAACTCATCTTTTAAACAAATTGCAGCTAGTCATTAGCTTTCATTCACCCTGCCAGGTTTGTTGCTAACTTAACATTTTCCTTTCTTGAGCCCCAAAAGGAAGATGAGGTAGACTCACATGACTAAGTTAAATGCAATGTGAAGCCTTAAGTATTTAAGTAAAAATGGATCCTGAAGTTGAAAGCTTCAGACTTCCTTTACTCACGTTTAATGTATGCTGAAGTATTTTAAGCTTTTTTGATGATAGGTTGGGTTTTGGGTGGTTTAGTAGTTGTGTTATTTGTTTATTTAATGCTGTTTCTCAGATTCTTGGCCAGCCCTTTTTAAGACTTGAGAAAGATTCCTTTAGGAATCTGGGGAATTCCCCCATCTAGAGGGGACAGTTTGTCTAACCTGTACCTCAGCCCACAGAGTGTATTTCCATTTCAGAGCAGTTCTCATCCTCTACTCTCATTTGTACTGGTGATGACTGTGGTGATGTTCCAAGTGCCTCCAGCCCATCTTTGCTGCCTGTTCACTGCTCACTTTAGGTTAATGTGTGCCATGCCGGTTAGAGGCCAATATCTATAATAAGGCATCTGTTCTTACTACTAGTAGTAATGATAATATGTAACCTAATAGTAATAGGTAGCTCCGAGAAGTGCCATGTTACTTCCGTAATGGTAAGCAACAATGGTTTCAACACAGAGCAGGTGTGTTGAAACATGACTTAACACTCACTCCTTTGTCAAAAGCAAGAGAAGAGTCTATCTGGGGATGCACAGCCTAGTGCTGCATGTACTGCATTGTTCAGAAATGTGTGTGCTTTTTCTAGCCCTTCTGTTAGTGGCTGCATTGATACATGGTCTTCCTTTTCTCAGGTGAATCAGGCATGTGAAAAACAAATCATCCAAGTGCGTGTTGAGGAAAGCTTGGTTTAAATATGAACTGGTGTAAAATTTATTACTGTTGGGGGGATAGATGTTATTTGCATAAATTGCTTTAGAAATTAAATAAAGAGTGTTTCCAAAACTATGTGTACATTCAGACATATTGCTGAATAAGTTTAGTAAATTTTAATGGCAGAATATTGTTCTTACAATTATCGCATTGGGATTTTTATGGTATTAGGTACAAATATGTGTGTCTAATAGGACAGGGAAATTTATAACCAGTCATGTTTGAACTGTTTCTTTCTATTACCTTCTTCTTTACCTTACTGTTTAAGGTTCCCTTTCCAGTGACTTTGCTCCTAAGGAGTAGCTTCTTTTCGTTCCCTTGTTACTGCTTTCTCCTTAATAATATATCCTTCACATTATTAGTTGCAATGGAAATGGAGTGAACGCTGTATATTCTGTATGCTGGCCTATGTAGAAAAGTAAGATTTTTTTTTCTTTTAATTCTTTTAATTGTTGCTATTGTGTCTTACTTGTATGCAACCAGTGCAAAGATATGTAGCATCAGGAGAGCCATCTGTATCTTAAAAAATGTTGAGAGTACTGTGCTAAACACTGTCTTATTCAGCTTATCCAGGAGCTCATTAATGAGATACAGACCTCTGAACAGCGAAGTTTAGTCTTTAAATATCCTTGAAATTGAGAGAAAAATGATGATGTCTAAAAAGTAAATTTGCAGTGTAAGCATACAGCTCTGAACTGTTTGGAGACCTCTCATGGGCATAAGCACAGCTGTAATTTTGTGGCTGTAGTGGGTTGAGACTGCAATGTATAATTCTAGAATAGGGGTTTTTTTTCCTTTAAATGGCTATCTTTATACTAAACCAGATGTATAAAGGAAATTAACAAAGTGGTCTTGGAGACTCCAAGTTACCAACATTGTGGTACCATCTTTCTTAACTCAGTAACCCCAAGTACCCTTGTTTTCAGCCCTCCCACAGTATATCTCCCCTCATTTCTTCCAAATCTGCTTCATCTCCCTTCAGTAGTTTTAACTATCCCGTCTCTTCTTCAGAAGACATGTACCCTGTGAAAGAGTAAATCTTAATGTAGCAGTGGGTACAAAGAAACAGTAGCAGACTCACCGTGAGTCTGCATGGTGGTTGCTTCCCTGTCCTTGTACCCTCTGTGCCCTGCTGGATACCAAGGATACCAGTGTGATGGCCTAGAGCAGCCAGCCAGTGCTTCCTGCCTTCGCTGTGAGTCAGAAAATGGTTCTTTGCTGCCCTCATCCTGTGCTGAGTAGCTGAGTACCAACACTGTCACAGCTCATTTCTGCTCCTCCACGTGGTCTGTCTCAGGAGGATCCATGTGCGAAGTGATACAGATGAAAATCCCACCTTTGTTACAGTTTATAGGTTTCTGGGGATCTGCCGCAAACAATAGTGACTCAAATTCAAATTTGCAACTTTAAAATATGTTAAACAGTCAGATAACCAGAGGAGTTTCTAGTTGGGCTAAACTAGCCCAGTTGTTCATCCAGGCATGCCAGCAGACATGATACTTCATGTGCCTTTAAAAGGTAAATGACTGTGTAGCTGGAATCCTAAACCACTATTAAAATTACTGTACTTTTAGTCAGAATTTAACTCTGTTTTCAACTTTGATCTGTAGGGCATTTCTGTTTTTACTCTCACTGGGAGTCATATAACATACATAGCATATATATGACAGATTGAGCCATATGTACTATTCCTTCAGGATCAAAGTGCCTCTGTAACAACATCATTGATTTTTGCCTTTGTTTCCTAGGCTGTGAAGATATTATTGCTGAGAGCATCTCACTAGACACCTTAATTGCCATTCTGAAGTGGAGCTCTCAGCCGTACGGTTCCAAGTGGGTGCATCGTCAAGCTCTACATTTCCTCTGTGAGGAGTTTACCCAGGTCATGACTTCGGAGGTCTTCTACGAGCTCAGCAAGGACCACCTGCTCACAGCTATTCAGTCTGACTATTTACAGGTAACCTGCAATGCAGAATACAGATGGTCCTGCTTGGGGCAGGGTGTTTTACGCCATGTCTAGAAATGCGTGGAGTAGCTCATTTTAAATTGCTCACCAGAGTGAGTTTGTACACACTGAGCACTCCTTTTGTAATACCTAAAAAGTGAAATTGAAGTAGTGATTAAGAAAACTGTTTTGTTCTTGGCTTGTAACACAACCCAAACGTAGTACATGCTATAGCTTAGAAGTCTAATAATTGTTTGTAAATGGATGAAAATTATTTTAAACAAGGCATTTCTGAACTTAACATTTCCCTTGCGTGTTTAAGAGTTTTTTTTATAAAATTATGTGGTGGTAGTAGTTTTGCTATAACGACATACATACTAATTTGAGTCAGTGGGAGCTAATAAACTAGTAATCATTCAGAAGACTTAATTTATTTTTGTGGAAAGACAGAAAAATACCTTTTCTGACAAGTATTGCAGAACTATTTTTTTTCTGACTTTCCTTCAGTAATTGTGTGTTTTTAGGGAGAGAAAATCATACTGACAGGTAGAAAGCTTCTGGGTTTTTGCTGCCATTTCTCTTCAGGGAAGATATCTTTATGACAACCAGCTTCTTAGAGCCTAAAGATGACTGGATTTTTTAAAATGGTATCCATTCAATCTTTTTTAAGGGATAAAGTCTTAGAGATTATTTAAAATGGATTTTTTTTAAAGTTTTGTTTACCTCAAACATTTCAGAAATTACAGTTAACAGTACCATTGATCTTCTGTGAGAGTGTATATTTTGACTAAATTTCCTACCCTAGTTGTTAAGAATTTACATAGATAAGTTTAAATTTTTCAGTATGTGATTTTTTCCTGTAAGAATGTTGAGTGGTTAGCACATGTATATAGGTATAAGCAAAGCAAAGTTATTTTATTTATAGTATTACTGAAAATCTTTTTCTTCACATAGGTTATAATTTAGTGGTGTTGATTATTTTCATAGCTTTCCAGGCTGTGCAGATGCTGAATTTGTAATGTTAACAAAAGATCCAAACACCCAGAGGTAGAACTGCCCCTTTTAATTAAATTCAGTAATTCAAATTTAATACCTGTAACTTTTCATAGTAAATAAAATTTCTCCTTCTGTGGAAAACTCCTTTACCTCTTCCTAGGGAGTTAATAAGTGGCATGAATCTAGAAATTACGGTGGTGATATACCAGGAGTACTACCTTAAAATATTAGGAGAAAGTGGTTGGCAGATCATAAAGTGCAAATCCTTCTTGCCTTGTTACAGTTGTGTTTCTTTAGCACTGTAAAAGACCTGTGTATGTGATTTTTGTGTGTGTGTGTGTGTGTGTGTGTGTGCATGTGAGACATTAAGCATATGCAGATGACTGACTTTCTCTTTCTACCAGGCAAGTGAACAAGATATTCTTAAATACCTGATTAAATGGGGAGAACACCAGCTGATGAAGAGAATAGCAGATCGAGGTGAGGATCCTTTAAACCACACAGTACTAAATCAAATAACCCAAAATTTGTGAAAGCTCTATTTTGTGGGTAATCTGTAACTTAAGGAGATTTAATCTACTTTGTTCACAGTATAGCCAAAACTAAACAAATGAACTTGTTTTTTTTAAAGTTTTTGTTCTCTAACTGAAATACAAGAAATTCTGTTTAAAGAGAGGAAACTGAAGATGGTCAGAGACTGGGACAGGTTGCCCAGAGTAGTTATGGGATCTCCATCCTTAGAGGTCTTCAAATCCCACCTGTATGTACTGAGAGGCAATTTGTGTACTCTTCCTGGGGAGGTGTGGGATGAGGGTGGTGGTTGTGGCTGGACCAAACTTCTAGGTGTCCTTTCAACTCTGTCTGATTTTAAGTCTGGTTGGTTTCCTGTTCTGTCAGAATTATTTTTCTTGTAACTAATTCATCAAATAAAAAAAAACCCTGCAGTATCTTTTACTTTCCTGTGCTTATGCAGGCTTCTCACAGTAATCTTATTCTTAGCTTACTTAGTGTCTGCCTTTCACTTCAGTTAGAGTATGTCTCTCCCACCGAAATCTATGGTGGTGAGAAATAAGCCAAAAAATGGCACTACATCCCTAAAGTAGATGTAGATGTATTTTTATGAGCCTGGATGCACATTGTTGCTACAGTGGTAACTTCAAGGGCAATCTCACCTGATGGGTACAGGAAGTAGGTTAAACATATATTTTCCAAATAGCAAATGCAAGTAGCTTGTAGTTCATCCAGACTACAAAGTATCAATCACACAGTACAAGGGGAACAGAAGGGGAAGAACCTGGCTGTGTAAAGTGTGACTACTGTCTTTGGAGGGCTGGCCATGTTTTTGAAATCTGCTGTTATTGTTTGCAAAACAACTGCTTTGTCAAGGGCATGTCTTACGAAATGCAACAAAAAGTCAGTTAAAAGATGTGCTTCTGGTGATCTGAGTAAGTATTAACCTGTTTTCAAAACAAGATTTTCTAAGTGTTTGTCTTAGGGCACATTAAAACATAATGGAGCCAGTTTAACATTAACAGACTTGGACTGGGGCAGAAGCTGCTCGTTTGGAATAACTGCACAGCTTCCTGTTCTGTGGCATTCATTAAGTAAACAGCCGACTTCTCTTTCCCAGGATCATCAGATAACATGATAAGCAAAGGCAGGAATAAGAGCTATGTCAAGTTCTGTCAGATTAGGGCTGAATTTAGTCTGGTATTTTCATCTAAATTCCTCAGTGACACTCCTGAGTTTACAGTTCTGAATATGTGGTGGTGTCACTCAAATGCCACAAAGCATTAGAGATTGTAATGAGCTCGAGCTGCCTGAACTGAAGGAGGATGGGTGTGTTTGACAGGTTTCCTCAAAGAGTGAAGCTGGTCAAATTCAGGTTGGACACAATACCTAAAATAAACGTGAAGGCAGTTAACTGGGGAGGAAGAGTAACCTGAGTGTGTCATACATTGTATCTTGCCATCTCTAGGAAGGTACTCTCTCCTGGCACAAATAGGTATCCCATGACCGTGAGAGCAATGGAATGGGCTTGGCACTCTTGTTACTAAGGTGGGCTACACAATGAGGTTAGAATAAGGTATCCCAGTGGACTCTTCAGGCCTTAATTTGTGGAAAATAAGTCTTTGAAAACTGCTGAGGAAAGGTAGAGGAGCTGCAGGAGGGAGTCCTGGAGGGAACTGCTGTCAGGAAGGTACAAATATTTTCATAGCACAGCTCTTGATAGAGCTTTACAAGCTTTACCCCAAACACTGTTTTTATTTTCTACCTGGCTTACACTTTAAAACTGGCAGCTGCGCAAATGACCTGTGTTTGTATAAACTGAACCTGTCTCTACGGATGTTCTATCAGGTTTTAAGGCATGAAATAGAACCACAGAATCATTTAGGTTGGAAAAGACCTCCAAGATCATAGAGTCCAACCTCTGACTGATCACCCCCTTGTCAACTAGACCACAACACTAAGTGCCACATACAGTTGTTAATTTTGTGGAACAATGCTGATGAGCACTGTTAATTTAAAATGAGAATTTTGTTTCCTTTTCTATAACTTCCTGGAAGCCCTGTAACTCCTGTTATCCTATTCAAACTTTTTGATGTAAACTTGTTCCTTCCCACAGAGCCTAATTTACTCAGTGGTACTGCTCACAGTGTGAATAAAAGAGGTGTGAAGAGGAGAGACCTTGACATTGAGGAGCTGAGGGAGATCCTGTCTCCACTTCTACCTTTTGTCCGTATTGAGCACATCTTACCCATGAATAGTGAAGTACTGAGTGATGCAGTAAGTCAGTCTCATACAAATACCGTTTGGGTTCTTCATACTTCAATGTTCACATGTGGGGTTTTTTTTGCTTTAGTGGGTGTTGGGTTTGTTTGTTTGTTTAAAGCATTAACTTCTAAAATGTTATCATTGAGAGTAATACATGTATAACACACTTTTTCTGGTTAAATTTGCTGTTCTTTAGATCTGTCAGAGGGCTAAAGAAAAATCAGTAGCGGCTAAAGAAAATTCCGTGTAAAAATGCATTTATTGCAAGTTTTTACCGTATTTATATTTAAAAAACCATAAACCTCTTTCTTGATTCTTAAAGATGAAGAGAGGCCTGATTAGCACTCCTCCTTCAGACATGCTACCAACATCAGAAGGTGGAAAGTCAAATGCCTGGCTGCGGCAAAAAAATGCTGGGATATATGTGCGGCCAAGACTGTTCTCGCCATATGTGGAGGAGGCTAAGGTAATAGTCATCAGCAGCACTTGACTATTGTCACATTAGAGTCATCAGGGGGTTCTGTAAACAGGGAAAGATTTTGGTATGTTTTGTGTCTCTTTACATGTACTGGCCTAAAATACTAACATTTTCAATTTAACAAGACTTACAAGATTGATCATCAGGCTCAAGTCTCTAGAACTGGTCAGAAAAATTTCAACAAAATTTTTTTTTGTCGAAATTGAAATGTTTGCGAGACAGATCTTGATGAAATTCCACCGGAAACAAAGCAGCGTTCTGAGGGAAACCTCCCCGGTTTCCAGCCAGTTTGCCGGCCCAGCTCCTCGGCAGCCCTCCTGGCAGGCGGATGGCAAGGTGAGAGCCTGAGAGTCCCAGTTTGCAGCTAGTCAGCAACTTTGGTGCCAGGTCTTTCAGGCTCCCCAGCTCCCACCAGAGCTGGGTGGAGAACTGCTATTCCACTCGGCAGAGGACTCTTGGTATTTCCTCTTCTTGTTTGAATCAGAACATACCCAAAAATCTTGTGATCCTCCGCAAAATGGAATAAATATCTTGTGTCCCATATGAGTGAAGTCCTTTGTGTCCCTCTCAGGCAGTAGCTTCCCTATTTAATTTCTTGCATGAGCACTGTCAAACTGAAGATCTTGCAGCATCTCTGATGTTTGGTGACAGGGGCAGGATGTTTGGTGCTGTGTGGGGCAGGAACGTGCCACGTTCTGTTTGGCAGAATGGGAGCCTGTTATGTTGCTGACTAATGCCATCACTTAAGGTAGCTCTGACTTAAGTTGAGAGCTCACGAGTCCCAGCAGGGCAGGTGACTGCAGAACAAGAGGATTAGATGAAGCTGGGTACATCCACATCACCTACAGACTCTGACCACTGCTCTGATGAATTCAGAGAGTTTGCCCTGTGCCTAAGAAAGAAAATGTTTTCTAAGTGTATGTGTTGTTGTTGGCATCCTCTTTGGGGAGGGAAGAAATAAAACTACTTCACATTTTGGGCACAAAGGTTAGAGCACCAAGTGGCACTAAAACAGCAAAGGAAGAATAGCCAGTTAAGATGTTATCTTTTTATCTTGGATTGAAGATTAAAGCTGACAAAAACGTGTTAAAGAATACGTGATAAAAGCTTTGACTCTGTTTTCAGGTATATGGTATGGGAGTGCTTTAGTAGTTACCTAAAGGTGCATTCTAACACTCCCCCCACCTCCTACTCCTTGTCAGGATTCCTACTTGTTTCTGTTAGTTTCATATTACGCTGTTAATGTTTTTTAAAACCACTTTTGGCTGTTTAACCTTAGAGAGAAGACTCTCATACTTAGTCTCTGATAACTTTACTCCTGCTGTTCATAGTTTAAGTATTGTGAAATGCAAAAACTGTGAATGAGTAATTTCTGGTTACTTTTTTAGTTCGCTGTTAGCCTCCCATATTTTGAAATAAATCCATATAACATTAAATCATAATCTTAAAAGGGTAGGCATAAATCCCTTTCTATTCTTTAAGATGTCTGAGGGAAACATGTTTCATTTTCAGACTCATGCCTTCCACTCAGTGGCACAGTGTTGAGACTCACAGGCAATAATTGCCTCAAACAAAGTCCGGAAGGTCTGGCCTCAAGAAGGTCACTTCTAATCTGGCAGGTACAAAATAAATAAAGCAACCTTCCCAAACTTTATTTGCCTGCCTGCTTTGTGGTCTGACTCGACTCTGACTGTGACTGGAAAATGGAATAGCAAATGCTGAGGAAAAAGCCAAATACTGTTGGTGACCTCTAAAAGTTACTGTGGTGTAGCAATTGCTAGACTTGTGCCCTGGGGACTGCGCTTGCAGCAGGTGGTGGGGTGTGTGTGCAGTCCTTCATGAGGGCTTTGGTGGCTGTCGTTGCAGTCTGTGCTGGATGAGATGATGGTGGAACAAACGGATCTCGTTCGTTTGCGGATGGTCCGAATGTCCAACGTGCCCGACACCCTTTACATGGTGAACAACGCGGTGCCGCAGTGCTGCCATATGATAACCCACCAGCAAGTCAGCACTAACCAGACCAGTCCTCCCTCAGTCATAGCCAACGAGATCCCAGGTAAGACTGCTGGTTGTTTCCAATGCCAATTGATCTGGGGGCTTGGGCCTGGGGGAAGTGAGAGTCAGCTATTGAACATTGATTTCCGTGGAGAGTAGCACTGCATCAGTAGTAGTCTCTTTGCTTTGGTCTGTTCTGAAGACATTAGCTGGTTTTGGATGGCACAGTAACTAGTTAGAAAACAATCTGAAAAACCTTGGACTGGATAAACACTGTAGAACACTTGCTGAAGTCTCACTCTTGGTTCTCAGAGTTTTCTACAGTGTTCTCAGTTTTCTACAACCAGTTGTCCAAGATGGGTAAGATCCAGGAGGCTGGAAAATGGCAAAACACTGATTTATTTTAAAAATTAAAAGCTGAGGAGCATAACTTACAGGGAAATCAGCTTAATTTAGTATGCTAGAAAATATTGGAAGTAGACATTCAAAACACACTTATTTCCGTTTACCAAATCTACTTTAGCTTTGAAGTCAAAGCTGCTTCATTCCTTTTCATGGGCAAGTAGATATGGCCTCTCTTTGCTTCAGGATACTTGGTGTGACATTCCCCATAGGCAAGCCAGGAAAATATGTACTAAATATATTTTGTCATTTATGCACTTGATCTTTTGGTATCAGACTGGAAGAATGTATCTGGTGGGATTCCCAAAGCATCTAGCTCTTCCTCGCTTACCCCTGTAATTAATAATACTCATTATTAATACTCAGTGTGCATAGAGAATACACTGCCAAAACTTGCACCTGATGACAAGTTGGAAAGGTCAGTGAATGTTTTGGAGGACAGGATTAGGTAGCTAAATGACCAGGATTTAATTTAAATTCGGGGAAGAAACTGTGAAACACTGTGTAGGTGTAGCCAGCTATGTGCATGTGGGATGGCTGAGGGGAGCTCTGTGGAGAACAGCCTGAAAGTCAACAGTATACAATTCCATAAAGAGCAATTTTTGTACTAAAATACAAAAACAAATGTGCCACAAAATGTGAGGTGATTCGATCTTGGAGCATCGTGTGTAGCCCTTTAAATGGCCATACTGGATCAGGTCAAGGATTTGTCTGTCTACCCTAAATCCTTATTCTAGCAGTCACTGGAAGTGAGTGCATAGGGAAGCACAACAGAGAAACCACATAAAATAATCCCCGTTAAATTCTGTGTGCTTTTCAATCATGTGCAGCTTGTAGCTATGCTGTGGTGGATGGTGTTTTCTCTGTAGTTAGTAATTTTAAATGTGTTGTTAATCCCTGAGTTTATGCAGTCTCTCGTTAAACTTGTGTGTACTTTTGGCATCAGTTTTTAGATCAAAATATCACATTTCAGTAGATACAGATCAGTTTGGGAGTCTCTAGAAAAGCAATAAAGATGGCTTGCCAACAAGAAAACAGTCATCTTCCTCCACTACTCCTGATTCCCTGTTTTATAAACTTTTTGTGTATCAGTTATGTCTCCCTTCAGTCAACTATGTTGAAAGGAAGTAGATAAACTTTTCTTGCAGATCCTAGAGCCAGGACAAAAATAATGGATTGAAATTGCTGCAAGAGAATTTGAGGTGTTAGGAAGATTTGAAATACTGTTTAGTTATAAGTTTTCTAGGAAATTTTTTGAAATGGTTTTGATCTGTTGCTTGTGATTTGGGAAGAAACTTGATAAAGCCTTAAAGGGAGCTTCTGAAAACTTCTGTTTGATAAATTCGATAAAAGCACTAATTTTTTGTTTAGAAACTTATAGTTGTGGCATCTCAGCAGGGCGTTACTTTCCTTCCCATACACACACACACAGAAAAGTATAAATGTACTCACCATGAATTGAATATAAAACATTTCATTATAAGATATGACTTTGATAACACTTTGCTCAATCTTAGTTTCCAAAGAATTTGAGAAAGGCAACAGGTTCTCAGAGGTCTCCAATATTTTGCAAAAGTTCTCATGTTCCCTGTTGGCAAGCATGAGACATCTTTACCAATCTGAAGCTCCACTGCAGCTTGGTTCTGTACAATTTAATGGGTAGGAATTATTGCCAGTCCTTTGATTTGAGCATAGATATGAGCCCTGAGCCTGGCCAATAGTTGGAGCACAGGAATTGTGTCCCAGTAACTGTCTGCTTCGCTTAGTTCTGTAATTAAGCAGAAGAATTGATTGGTTGCCAGTGCCTCTTTGCTAGGATGGGCAGATGGAGCCTAGTTAATTTGAGGAGATTAAAGCCTGTACCAAACCTATAACTTGTACAGAAATACATCCTAAAGTGTAGACAGAGCACAGGAGCTGCCGGGGGGAGAGCTGGGCAGCATCGCCTCCATGCCCCTTGGACTGGGCTCAGAACAGGGGGTTCTTTACAGCTCAGCTGTTCTCCATCTGTCCCTGGCATCTCCTTGTACCCACTGCCTGAGGACTGTATTTGCATAAATGCTGCTGGCAGTGTGTCTTAAAGCTCTTCCTGCAGCACTATTGTAGAATGAGTTCAGCCTGTGCTGAAGACTGTTCTAATTTGAGGCCAGGTTCTGCAAGTGGTTGGGTTTCCTTACATATTTTCCAATTTTACTTTGAATTAGAAATCCTGCAACTGAGAGAATTGTATTTTTATATATGTAATCTTTATTCTGTGTGTTTCAAACAAATAATAGTAAAAAAAACCAGAAACAAACCTGGATGTGAGAATACAGCACTTCTTAATGCAAAACTGATATCATTTTTATGCCTACTAGTTTGGAGAACTGCTTCAGACTTCTCTTAAATCCTCTTTTTTCCAGTATTAGCAAAATGCTGGGTGTAGCTAAACATATGGCTGCTAAATCAGGATTTTTCAGAAGAATTTAAGTGTGTGGAGGGTAGCATGGAGGACTTATTTCCAGGCCTTGAAGACTGATTAGAATGGGTTCGTTCCTCCTCCCAGCACAGGAACTCCATTGAGGGGAGGGGGAATATTTTGCACTACTTGTACTTATCCTTCATGTACCAGTGTAAACTTTGTGAAATAAGGACCAGTTGTAGTTGTGTGGTGTTGGGTTTTCTCCTTCTCTGTAATGCAAATGTGTTTTTACACTGCTCTTGCTGTATGATCTGTTTAATTTTTATGAGCTTTCATTATGGACATCTGGTCATGACAATATAAGCACTTGTAAAGCTGTTAAAGGATCAAACGCCAGGACTTACGTATCTGAATTTGTCTTCTCTATGATATGCACATTTTCATGAGGACAGAAAGACCACAGAGAAATACCATTCATCGTCAAACAGCAGTAAGAAGTGGCATGAGAAAGCTTTGCAACAAGATAAATACCCCAAATTATACACTATTTTCTTTTGGAAAGGTTTTTTAAAATTATTTCAATATGGCTGCATAAAACAGTATAATTTTAGCAGGTTTTTGTTGGCTTACAGTTTGTGTAACTTTTGTAAAATGCACTTTTTCTAGTTACATACTGGTGTTATGGTCTTGTGATTATAGAATTGCATTAGAAGTATGAAGTGTATGCCAAAAAAATCAGTGAATTCTCGGCCTGTACAATTCACAAGGGAACATTCAGTTGTTATTTAAGATATCCTTCCCCCACCTCCAATCATGGAATTCCTGCATCACAAGGGGTTTACAAAAAAAAAGGCTCTGTTTGTGGCTCATTCTAGCAGAAGCTGGAAAAGTGATGTATGCTTTTACCATTTGTATGGTGTGTGTTATCCCATGTGGCTTAGTGATGCTCCATGGAGCATGTGTAAGTTGAACAGTTCTTGGCAGAATGCTCCTTAAAAAAAGAAAACAACTCAAGGCAGCCTGATGTTAAACTTTTTCTTCAGAATTGCAGTCAAACTTACTGTCTCACAGTTCAAAAAGGAATCTCTATTATCCCTACCCCATTCTCTGTTATTCTTCCAGTTCCCAATCTCCTCGTTGTGAAAGAGATGATCAAGCGGCTGCAGGAGCTGCGTCACACGGAGCAGGTGCAGAGAGCGTACGCCCTCAACTGTGGAGAAGGTGCCACAGTCAGTTATGAGATTCAGATCCGTGTGCTGCGGGAATTCGGGCTTTCTGATGCTGCTGCTGAACTTCTGCAGGTATGAAAAGTTGCTGTATAAGATAATGAATTGACCTAATTGTGCAGTGTGCAAGAGGAGCACTCTGTGTGCTGGTGCACAAGTGCTTTGAGATGCCTTCATAGCTGTCCAGGTGCAAACACCAGTTGCAGTTGACATATGTGATTTTATAAATGTGTAAGTGCAATGTATAAATACTTTTCTCAGGAGTCATTGCCACTCAGGGTGTTCTTACTGATGCAGATTTTGGGGATGAAAAAACATCTGCCGAAGAGGGAGTTGACAAGAGGAGTAGAACCATAACTTGAAACCTAGATTATTATTCATTCTTGAATTGGAAGGAGAAAAAGTGGTAACTAATACTGTAGGTCTGCACAGTACATATCAGAACTGGGAAAACTGGAAATCCCACTTCTGTTTATACACTGCTGTTAAAGCAAATGCTTTCATTGGTCAACTTACACAGTGAATCTGATGCTTCTTGTCTTATTTAAAAAAAAAAATCTATATTCTGTTGTAGCTGTAGTCGCCTTGAGTGCTGGTGAGGTTGTAGGTGGCACAACCAGGCAGTTACAGTACTAGCACATTTCAAGTTCCAAAGAGTGTTAGTTTAGGAGATTTTTTCTAAATGACTTTCTACTTTGTCCTGTTACATGCTGGGTTTTTGCCTTTGCAGAATCCTCACAAATTCTTTCCTGATGAGCGATTTGGGGACGAAAGCCCCCTCCTGACAATGAGACAGTCTGGACGGTGTCGTGTTAACAGCACTCCCACTGCAGAAACCATGTTTACAGAGCTGGACTCTTTTGTGGCCTTCCATCCACCACTGCCCCCTCCTCCACCTCCATATCACCCACCAGCAACTCCTATTCATAACCAGTTCAAAGTGGGCTGGAAACAAAGGGTGCCAAGTCAACATCCCTCACGTTCCTTCTCTTACCCGTGTAATCACTCGCTGTTCCACTCCCGCACCGCCCCCAAAGCTGCACCGCCTGTCTACTTGCCTGGTGTGAAGGCAGCACCTCCTGACTGCACTAACACCACAGGTCTGGGGCGACAAACAGTGGCAGCAGCAGCGGCAGTGATGGCAGCTGAGAAACAAGTGGTAAGTACTGTGATTTCTCCTCCCTGTCTCTGGCCACTCAAAGTACCTTAGAGAAGGAGTCAGAGGGAATTCTTATGATGAAGTTGGCTTTGTTAAATAAAAGAGCATTTTTGTTGGTTAGGGGAAGATTTTTCTACCAAACTGGCTTGTCAGCATTCTACATCCCAAAGGCATCCTAATCTCTGGAAGAATGAACGTTCCAGGGGCAGGAGCATTTTTGGAGGGGCAGGTCGCACTCATGCTTCTGAAATCATGGAATCATAGAATACCCTGAGTTGGAAGGAATCCATAGGGATCACCAAAAGTCCAACTGCTGGCCCAGCACAGGACAGTCCCAAGAGTCACACTATGTGCCTGAGAGCATTGTCCAAATACTTCCTGAACTCTGCCTGGCTTGCTACCATGATCACTTCCCTGGGGAGTCTGTTCCAGTGCCAACCTTTTCCTAATATCCAGACTAAATCACTCCTGACTCAGCTTCATGCTGTTTCCTCTCGTCCTATCACTGGTCACCACAGGGAAGAGATCAGTGTCTGCCCCTCCTCTTCCCCTCACGAGGAAGTTGTGGACTGCAGTGAGTTCTCCGCTCAGTCTCCTCCGGATTTCAGCTGCTCCTTGTGTGGCAAATGTGGTTTGCTCTACACTAAAGCAAAGCATAAGCCACCTTCAGTAGTGGACTGCAGGCTGTAAATGCAGAGGTAGAGGTAGTGATGGTATTAACTATTCACAGGTAGGTAGTCTGAAGTAAACAGGTTCCCTTTATACATATGTGAAGAACGTGAAAGCTTTACAGCTGTGAAATACTTGAAAAGGAGTAGGAAAGCAGAAATTGGTAATTGCCAATACAAAGGGGTTTGTTACAGCATTTAAAAGCAATCATTACCGTTGCTTAACTACAATGTGATACAATGAAATCAATGAAATATAAGATACTGGATAAAGACATAGATTTATTTTTTTTTTTACAGCAGAAATAAATTACCACGTTCTTTATTTAGCATTTCCTGTACTTCCCTAAGCTATCAGTGCATAGTTGTGTCATACTGAAAACCTGCATATTAGATGCAGATTTAATCCTTGAGTTCTGAATGGAAACATGGATTTTATTTTTTTTCCCTTTAGCAATTGTCTTAAATACATTGCACTTCTGTTTATATTTTAGGTTAAAATATTTAATTTCACATTAGAAATGTTTACCATTGTTTGGTCAAGGGTGGGTTTTGTTGCATGTCTCTCTCCTTTGATCAATACTGACTTCCCTAAGGAAACCATATAGTGATCTTTTTCACATTAGAAATATTTCTTCTGGAATGTTTCCATAAATAATGCAAGGAGGAACATAGGCTTAATATGAGGGATATTTTTGTTCTGTGTTCTTTCTTCAATTTGTTAGTTACTAGTAATCAATGATTACTAACATTCCTTTCACTAGAATTATAAATGCAAGCAGAAATTTTAACTCTTCTGTCTGGAAGGCTATAGTGACAACATGCATGTTCCATAGCTTTCCTGCACTGTAACTCTGTGCTGTAACAAACCATTTGTTAAGTTCTGCCTTGCTTAGTTTGGTAATTGGAAGTGGCTTAAAGTAGGCCTGCCTTTAAGAAGTTTAACAGTACAGTGTCCTTTACTTCATAGTCAAGGCAAGATGCATTTAAAAGGAGCTATTATTGTGGCACAACAGCTTCATGAAGGAAACAAGCAGGAAGGTGAAGGTCGGTGGATACATGTGTTCTTTAAACAGTGCAGGAAATTTGCAGGCTAAGGTTGGCTAGGGATTAAGAAAATGCCATTTTGGATTAGGAAAACCATCCTACATACAGTTCGTGTTTAGCTTTTGTCTTTGTTTCCATGGACCAATTTCTTTTCTTTTCCAGTGTGCTCAGCCCTTGCTAAATGACCTGATGCCAGATATTGCCATGGGTGTGTCAGCGATGTCTTTAAAGGAAAGAAGATTACCAGAGCTCACGGTCGACACGGAGTTAAGCCAGGTGGTTACAGAGGTAGGGCCTGGCCCACCCCAGCACATTTCATGTATTCAGAACAGACACATGCCTACTGCTCGGAAAAAACATGCAATAGAGCAAAAAATAGATGCTCGAGAAAATCCACAGGAATATCCTGACTTCTATGACTTCTCCAATGCTGCATGCAGACCCTCTACTCCAGCACCCAACAGGCACAGTCCTTCGCCTTCACAAGGCATTTATTTTGGCCCAGATTTGTATAGCCACAATAAGGCATCACCAAGTGGCTTAAAGTCAGCCTATCTACCTTCCCAGATATCTCCTAAAAAGCAAGAGGACTCTAGGAGGGAATACCTGCTCTCGCAAGATGGGCATCAACACAGGCAAAAGAATGAGCCAATACACCTCGATGTCTTAGAACAACCTCCCCAGCGACTGGACTTGGCCTTGGCTAACCAGGAAAATGCTGGGAATGGCCCTGTTCACGTCAGGGGAAGAGCAAAAATGGAAACGGATTTAACCTATGGGCTAACCTCCAACAGACCTTCGCTCTCTGCCTACACCTCTGAAATGCCAGAAGAGAGACCCAGTAGGAGACTGGCAGATGATGAGCCATTGGAACATGGAGCACAGAGAAATGCAGATTTGGAAAGGGAAGATGCAGTAAGCAGAGGAAGGAGGTCTCCCAACAAACCAGACTTCCTGTACAAAAAATCTGCCCTATGAAAGCAACCTCCACTATTTCTCTGTGCCTAAGAGTTGTAAACATCCCATTCCTTGCAACTTTTGGCCTCACTTCTGTCAGACAAATTCCTTCATGCCAGCAGAAAAATTCAGCTTCGCTCACTTCTTTTGTACATACATTGCTTTGTTAGAGACAGCATGTTATCAATTTTGTTTTAATGCTGCTTCTGGTTTTATTTTGTGGGAATTTTTTTTTTGAGCAGATTTAATTAAGCCTTTAAAAAAAAAAAAAAACAAAAACAAAAACAACAAAAAACCCACCACAAAACCGGTACCTTTTTTCTACAACCTGGTAGCCTTTTGCACCTGTACATCTATTTTAGTGTATTAGTTTTGTACTAATATGTTAAACTTTAATGTCACATTTAAAGGACTGTATTTTCATACTTTTGCATTTATCCTTTCACATGCCAATTCCCTATGTGCATTGGGTTGCACATTATGAAATGTATTTTCTTATGAGATAGTAACAACCTGTTTATTTTTTAATTATAGGAATTCCAAAGAACAGCACATCAAAAAACCTACATTTTTATTTAAGATTTTTTTGTTTGTTTGTTTGGATTTGAAATCTTCCTGATTTTTATGACTACAGCAAGAATCCAGTCTAATGTTTTGTTTGAAAAGTTTTGGCAGCTGGTCTTATCCTTATGTAGATAGCAAACCCACTTCAAGAATTACATTTGGGTTTTTAAGGGCTCAGAGGGAAATTTAGGAGTCCAAATTCTAGTGAATTCACTGGAATATGACAGCTTGAATCTGTTTGCTTCTGGTTCAGCTGTGCCCATTGAGAACTCCATGATTACCCAGAAGCACTTACTAGACAGATTAGAATTGTTGATTTGCCCATGCAGAGATAAATGTAGAAATACTATAAAAATGATAGTAACTACTTGTTCTTCCAGCTGCTCATACATGGGGATAGTGAAGACCAGATTTGTGGATTCCTGCTGAGTCGGAGTGTCAGGAAGACAAGGCATAGTCAACAACCTTTGCTGTTGCCTGAACATGAGGGAGGGTTCCCTCTCCCGGAGGTGCCGAGGTGACTGTCCATTGCCTTGCTTTCTCCTGCCTACAGTTACAAAAGGGCTTCACTCTTGGTGATGTCTTGTAGTGTTCCTTACCTGATCTCACGTGTTGCTGACTCCATGATCGCAGCTCTTCTGGGAGCAGAATCCCAGTGAAGAGTCTCTGCTTTAGCATCATGACATGTGTGAAGCTTTAGCACTCTTAAATTATGCCTCCATTTCCTGAGTTTGCTTTTTGAAAGCACAGAAATGAGATTCCTCTTAACAGGATGTGAGGAGGGAATGATGGTGATCTGGGCTGGCTCCTGCCACTGGGGTGGGGTTCAGCAAGGCACCGGGGGGGGGGAGTGGTTACAGTTGTGAAGTGCATCCTTAATACTCACTGTGCAGTTCTAGGAACAGATTCATTGCATTCAGGATAGGAATCTGATGCCACTGCAGTGTAGTGATTGCTGGTAAAGGCCTGTTTGGGGGGGGTTAAATACAGTTTCTATAATACATTTCCCTGTAGTAGAACACTTTAGTCCCATGTGTGACCTTAGGACTTCTTTAAGGTTATGTTGAGTGGATTCCTGCAGCTCAAAATGCTTAATACTGTTTTAACAGAAATCGTGCTGCAACTTTACTTCTGGTTTTAGTTGATGGCAGATTCTTAGCTAATGTGTTTCATTAAAGTATGCTGTGTCTCCTGCATATGCATCTGTAGACCTCCTGCCTCATGGAAGCTCTGCAGACACTCCTTTTGAGATGCAGCCATGGAAAACGTGGTGTAGGATTGGAACAGAAACTGTGCAGGTGATGTCTTGTGGGTGAGGGGAGATTTCTTTCTTTTTTACCTCTGTCAGCCTTTTTAAGCTGTTTTTTTGCCCACAGTCGAGGCACTTGGTGGTCCTGGCTTCGTCACCCATATGTGGGATTTCCATGGGACGGCAGTGTAGAACATTGTTAAATGCAGGGTGTCAGTGGGGAGATGGTGCTGCTGCAGGTTGGTGACTGAGGTTCACGGGGTTTCTTGTGAAGATCGAGCATGGTGCTGTCTGACTGCGTAGCTGTAACCGCACATGAGGGTCTCATCCTCGCCAGCATGAGACCACCTCACCAGAAGCATTAATTTCATCTCACACAAGAACCCTGAAACTCCCTGCACTTGCATCATGTATGTGTTGGCGGCTTAATTACTAAAAAGTTAGAGCTGTCCTCAGAAGACTGATTATTCTGAATAATTTATTTTTACCTAAAACTGATAGATGTACTTCAGGAGAACTATTTTAGTTATCACAGTTTGATGTGGCACTGTGTACCTGGACAGAGGTGCGGCTGAGATCTACAGATAAAACTTTAAAGTTTGTGGGGGCGTGGCTGATGAAGGTAAGAAGTTTTGAGGTTATGGTTTGAGGAAAATCATGAAATGCTGTGGCTTTGGAATAAGCTGGTGAGAAATGCCTCAGGGGAGGACACGTTTGCGTTTTAGAAAATAAAATTGCTTTTGAAGTCTCAGGAGCTGAGCAGTATTCAAAAAAGAATCAAGTGTTTAAAAGTAGGTGCAGAATGAAAGACAAGTCTTTCTGAGGCCACAAAGACAATCAGGCCACGTAGACAATCTGTTTTCACTTGTATATTCTGAGTTGGGAAGAAGATGGTAGCTAATGGCAGCTGATTTGAAGTGGAAAAGAAGGACTTGTTGAATTACTGGAACTGGATTACTTTACTCCAGCGTAGGATTTCCTATTTAGTTGGATGTGCAGAGGGAGAGGAGAAACCATCTTTTCTTAGAAGCATTATTCAGAAGCTAGTGTTCATACTACATCTCACTCACACAACACATGTACCTGTGCTACCTGCTACTTCTTATTCTCTGTCTACTGAAACTTTGGTGCAGAAGCTCCTTGTTTACATGAAGCACTTTCTGATTAGGCTGGAAATTGACACCTTTTCCTCCTATAAATTTGATGGAGATGACAGATTACTGACTATTTTGCTTGGATAGAGGTATAAAGAGGTATAAACATTGTTTTCTTGAATGAGGGAGACTTGTGCTCCTTGTTCTGTTAAAAAGAGAGCTCAGACTTTGTATTTAGTGAGCAACATGCAAAAACTTCTTATTCCCTTTTCCCCAACTACCCTTCCTCTTTTCCTTAATATATGGATGAATAACTTAATTCCTAAAACACATTTTTTCCTTTAAAATGTTTTGTTGTTCTACGGAATTACTGTAGTTGTGTATTAGTAACTGCTGTGTTGATTGGCAGTTTCCTGTTGTATTTTTCCTGTTCTTAAGGACTTTCTCCTATGAAAATTAAGGCTGTGGCCACCTGTACTTGTAAAGCCTTGGGTTTTGGTCCTGGAATGTCCCAAATGTTTGTCTTAGGGTTTTCTTTGGTTTGGTGGGGGTTTTGAGGGGGTTGGGTGTTAGTTTTGTTTGGTTTTTTGGTTTGTTTGTTTTGGTTGGTTTTTTTGGTTGGGTATTTTTTCGTTTGTTTGAAAGAACACTAAAGCTGTTTGAGGCACTGTTCCTTCTTCTAATAATTCTATGCTTCTATGGTAGAGGTGGTGCTGAGCCCTGTGGGGTACAGGGAACAGCTGAGAGGGAAACTTGTAAAACCGCACTTGGGGTTTCTGTAATTACCTGTACTGCCAGGAGGCAGCCCTGCCTTCGGCAGCATTATGGATGTTTCTTGTCCTTGTGTTGTTACTGGTATAAAGTCAAGTGCCTTCAATGCTAAAGGCTCAGAAAACTTTCTTAAACTGACTTCATGTCCTATGCAAGTGTTTTTTCTACAACCTGCATAACCAGTACTTTGTAAAACTTGTTTACGCTTCAATTGTACATAGTGTTTTTTAAAAAAAAAAATAGTATTTTTATTTAGGTACCTCCAAACTTGAATTCTAGTCTTGTGTGATGCATTGTAAAACAATACATTTCTCTTTTGAGTACCATTACAGTTGTAAAAAGGTTTTCACTGGTTCTATTTTTCTACTGTTGCTGAGAAGCATGTAACACTGACTTTATCCTACATATAGTTGGCATTTCAAATAAATGGCTTGTATAGAACATGCTTGTGTGGCTGCTTCCCGTGAACTGTGACCAGCAGTGCTGGGCTGGCTACACCCACCACCCTGTCCTGCTCACTCCAGGCTGGCAGTGACTGAGGGCCTGGGGAAAGGAGCTGAGCAACACAAACAGAAAGGTGCCCTCTGACTGTAAAGGCTCCTCAGACTGACAGGGTTTGTTCCTCCTGGGGGAAAAAAAGTACCCAATAATGCTTTGAACATCAAAGACATGATATAAAATAGTGTAAAAAGAAGGATTCAGAATCTGTGGCACTGATCAAGCAGTTTTTAAAAAGGAAAAAGCATTTCAGTGAAAGAGTTCTGTGAGTTCTGTCTAGAGCCTGATGGACTGAGGCCGTTCCCTGTGAAAGGCAATAGGGCTCAGAGCTGGGGCCATGGGACACAGCCCTGGATCCAGGAAGTGTGTGCTCAGCTGGACAGACACATTTAGTACTTGGCACTCCCAAGTTGCAGTTTTGCTGCACTGGCTGACTGTTCATTACATCTCATTCACAAACAAGTGTCTCATTGGTTCAGAGTGATGACTGAAGTTCAGAAGTGTCATCCAGTCGCTTGACTGGTCTCACTTTGATGTACAAGAGCAAAATACTGTGAATTACGATCTGACACAGAGCAGAGGTGCATGAGCACAGCGGGGCTGGGGCTGGGCCTCACTGCAGCACTTCTGTGTGCCCTGGGGCCTCTTAGTGTGTATTTATTGTGGAGAACAACACAGCTTGGAAAAGTGAAGTGTTGGGTTCAGGGTGATCTGAGCTCAGAGCTGGAACCCAGGACAAAGATTGCCTCTGGGCACTCTCTCCCTCACCCCTTCAGTGAACTACAAAAACAGCAATACAGAGCAAACATACCCCCATCCTGCTTTTTTCTGTACTTGCTGGCAGGATGCAAGCCCTTGTTTCACACCTGGGTTAGGTGGAGGCAAAGGTCTAGGAATCCTGGGCTTGACTCAGCCCCTGGGATGTATCTTGGTCATCACTGGGCTCCCTGTGTCTGCCTGGATCTTGGAAACAAAACACTACAGCAGCAGTGAGAAAAAACAAGACAGTACAGATTGAACAGTTCTTTAATTCTTTTTATATTGTAGTTAGATGTGCAGTTACAGCTCCTGTAACAGTTGCTACCAAAAAACAGCATGTACAATACCTGGAGTTAAATTTAAAAGCAACTAGGAAAGGGACCTGAGGGTTCTGATCAATGCCAAGTTGGAATGAGTCAGCAGTGCCCTGGCAGCCAGGAGGGCCAACCGTGTCCTGGAGGGGCATCAGGCAAAGCATCTCCAGCTGGTCGAGGGAGGGGATTGTCCCGCTCTGCTCTGCACTGGGGCAGCCTCACCTTGAATATTGTGGCAGTTTCGGGTGCCACAATAAAAGAAAGATATTAAGCTATTGGAGTGTCCAAAGGAGGGCAACAAAGATGGTGAAGTCGCTGGAGGGGAAGCCATAAGAGGGGCAGCTGAGGTCACTTGGTCTGTTCAGCCTGGAGGAGACTGAGGACAGACAGTGTGGCAGTCCACAACTTTCTCACAAAGGGAAGAAGACGGGCAAGCACTGATCTCTTCACTATTATGACCAGTGACAGGACTTGAGGGAATGGCCTGAAGCTGAGTCAGGTGAGGTTTAGGTTGGGTAGGAGGGTGTTTGGGCACTGGAACAGGCTCCCCAGGAAAGTGGTCATGGCCCCAAGCCTGACAGAGTTCAAGAAGCATTTGACAATGCTTTCAGGCACATGGTGGGATTCTTGGGGTGCCCTGTGCAGGGCCAGGAATTGGAATTGATGATCCTGATGGGTCCCTTCTAACTCAGCATATTCTGTAATTCTAGGAAACGGATGAGCTGAGCCTCTATGCTACAACTAGTTTTTGTAAATAAAGTGGTCAGAAACAGTTAATAGTGAGAATGATAAAGGTCTTTGTTCTCAAAAATCATTAACACAGAAGCAGAATAGTACCCCACGGTATAGAAATCCTCAAAAACTAGAACTTTAATGTATGTTTTGGGGGCTGAGGATAAAGAAAACTAAAAACTACATTAGGCTCCAAAAATTACAAAAAGTCAATTCTTAATTGCAGCTAAGTGTAGAGTCTTAAAAGTCAGTGAAACATCTCCCATGCTTATCACAGTGGTTATAAAAAGATCATGTTTCATACTGTAGCAAAATACCAGGATGCTTCAGGGTTTTCAGCAACATTTATGAAGTAGAATAATTTGCTGTAGGCTAGTTTTTGAAATCAAAGCACATTACAAGTCCTATAACAAACCCCCCATGCTTAGTTTGTAATTCAGTACCTCCTCCTAGATATTGTTTATATTCTAATAAGTGAATTGAGATCGTGTGACAATTTTTTTCATGTAAAATATCACTGTACAATATTAGAAACAGGTTTTTTAATGTATAAAACCAGACAGAACATTCTGTTGCATCAAGCCTAACCTCTGCTTCCCCATTTCTGACCTGCCCAGGGAGCGCTTCCCCAGCAGTGAGCGAGCAGGCAGCAGTGACACGTGATTTGGCTGCCCTGGAGGGACCCGTGGGTCACCCACAGCCACAACTGTGCCCGCTCCAGCCACTGAGGAGCCACGAGCCCTGCACAGGAACAGACACCTCCTGCGTGCAGGAAGCCCTGGCCAGAATTGTTGCACCCCAAAGGGCGAGACAGAGCCATTTACAGCAGGAAAGCAAGGAGCTCGTTCCCTGCACTGCAGAGAGGGGAGGGCAGGGCAGGCAGAGCCCAGGTGGGTTTAGCACAGCCTACAGCTCTAGGCACTGACAGGAGGCTAAAGGGTGAAAGGCTACAGGGAACAAACAGTGACACACTGTTCTGGTAACAAGCCAACTCTCCCTGGAGACAAAGCTGGCTTTTGGGGGAATGCAAAGTTGATCGGTACCAAAATCCCTCTAACTGCAATGGTAAGAACCTTTTAAGAACATGTTTTAGTTGCTACAAATAAAGTAGGAGACAAAATGAAGATGTTTCTTGGACAGCTGGATTTTGATGAGAAGCTGATATACTGAGATACTGAAGATGCCTCTTCTGTTTGCCAGTGAATATTGTTTCCCCAGTGGTCCTTTCAGACCCAAACCCTCTCAGTCTAACTACAGTAGTACTGCATCCTGTTAGTCCGTCGCCTTTTCCGTGACTGAAATTCTTCAAAGAAGTGCTGAATGTCTTCTCTTTTAACCACCTAGAAGAGCATGAAACCCAAGTTTTGGTGCGGTGCAAGAGCTCAATTAAAGGATCCCGTTTTTTATCCCCACATGCAATACACAAAGTACAGGAAAGCAAATATCCTGAAGTTTCTCTGATACAGCTCTTCTGTTGCACCCAAAGGAGACGATTAATGCCCAAATTCTACTACAAAGAATACAAACAAGGAAACGAGTTCCCCTAAGGCAGAACAAACACATGGAGCAAAGCTCCCAATGGTACTTTGACCTCTTGATTTTACCATAAGAAAATTTAACACAAAGAAAGATCTTCATTAGCTCACTTCAGTCTCATTCCTATGTAACTATGAATGGCAATACAGCAAATCTGCCACCAAAATGCAAGTGTTAATGAATAATAGCAGGTGCGTTCCTGCAGGAAAACAACTGACAAGACTGACAATCATAGGTATTCTTTATTCTTCTAAGGGTTTAAATTCAATCTAAGAAAAACCAGAAAATTTAAGAACTTTTTTTCCCTGACTACTTCTCCTAGAGCAACAGAAGTTTCCTTTAAATGTAAGAACTGCTCTTAGTACTTTACAGAAATCTGTTTGCAAAGTCCCCGTTACCTCTCAGCAATGTCATTAAGGAAATATAACTGTTACATTCCAATGAAATCAGGAATTTCTAATTTCTACTGCAGCACCAGCAACTCCAAGAGACAGGAAAAAATATTACAGCACAGCATCGTAGTATTCAGCACCCAGCCCTCAACAATTCTTTAAAACACATTTTCTGGTAAACAAATTCTGGAAGTTGCCCCTTACCGTTCCCTCATCTGCAAACCTCCTGAGATAGTCTGTCAGTTCCGTCTTTAAATCATTGTATTCTGAATGGCAAAGCAAAAGCAAAGAAAAACAAAAAACAGTAAGATATCCAGTTTTTAGTTTAACACTGGCTCAAGCAGACAACTTGTTCTACTCCTTGTCATTCATTAGGTTTATTTCAGACAAATCTAGGCTTGAACTGGATTATAATTAATAATAATTAAAAAGACAAGTCCAGGTAAACATGAGAAGCCTAATAATTTGAGACTAACCTGTGCAGTGTGACTATCTGTTTGTGTTGATTTCAGAGCAATGTATAGAGTTCAGTGAATGAATTAGTACAATTAATTAAAAGACACTGCAAAAGCCAGCATGGGTTGTGGCAGAAAGTTCCAGCCTGTAACTCGGGATTGGCCAACTGTCCTCTCCAGAGTGCAGAGCCCTCACCGAAGAGGGAAACACAGCTCCAGGTATAAAATACCTCAGCAATGCTTTGTCAATACTCTCTGCAGCAGAGCTGCAGGGGACACCTGACTGGCACTCTCTAGACAGGAGACTGCCAATCAGCAGAACAGGGTAAAATAAATAAGCTAGACAGCATAAGTGCAAATTAATGTTAAATATGCACATTAAATACATTACAATCAATACAGTACCTAAGATGTTAAACTGGGTGAAGGTTCCCACACCATCTAGTGTCTCACTCTAAGGTGAAGTTGCAAGAACGGGCCAGAGAGGACCGACTTCTCCAGAGTAATCCTGGCTGAGGTGTGCAACCTGTCAGTCGTCTGCATGTTACTTCAAAAATAGTTTTGCACTACACTGCAAGACCTGATACTAATCTCTTGTGGGAAGCTGTTCAGTTAAAGTGTTAAGGCATATTCTAAAAATGAAGTTGCATTTACCACAGATGAGTTCCACTTGCTGAACTCTGTTCATGCTGTTAAGGGTGTCCATTAAAGGATCTCTTCTCTCCGTCTCTTGGTCACTGGTACCTTTATTTTCGTAAGCCAAGACAGTGTCACATTCGTCTGTCAGGAACTGGACTTCAAGGTCTGAATACATTTTCTGGAAAATAAAGTAAAATTTACTTTTACATGACAAAACTTCTCAGGTGGGAGATGCTCTCCCCCAATCCTTTTTGTGTTCAAGGTCACAAAGAACAGCAATTATCAGGTAAATTTGTATCCAGCATTTCAGACATTTCCCCACACCAACTTCCAAAGCAATCCTAGATTTAAACAACAAAGAAAATACAAACGTTTAGAAGCTCCTTTGTGCTATATTAATTCACAGGAATCAGTGTGTTTCTTTAGGTGGGGTGAAGGGGTTTTTCAGTGTTTATATGCAGAGTAAGAACATTTACACAGATTTTACCTAAAGCTCTTCAAAGATTCTCTGGGAGCTCCTCTCTATCTCTCCCAGATCAGTGATGGTAATGAAGAGAGCATACATACCAAACAGTCTTCACAGGTGCATAATTTGCTCCTCCAGTTCGATGGCCAAAAGGTAGCAGTATCTTTTTTCAAGAATGGCTTGCTTTGGAGCTCCTTCAGCTTGCAGACTGGTTCCTTACTCTTAGTAACTACCTGAATTAAAATGAGACCGTTCAGCACCCTGTAACATCACTTCAAAGACACTCCGTTCTTTCTGGCACATCCATTTCCTTAGGCAAGATTTTTCTTTCGTCTCAAAGACATTTATTTTTATAAAAAACCTGTATAACCATCCACATGAGGATTCTGATGTGGTTTTAGCAATTTCCACTAGAAATTTCTGTAGAAATTTCCTGCAATAGCTGGAGTGTTTAAGAACTCAGAGCTGGACCATCACACAAGTGCAGTTACAACACATAATACCCCTGTGTAATAACAAACAGAAGTCCCCTCAGTGCCCAGGCCAGTTGGCTGACAAGAAGGGACGGATCTAACCCATCTGCAAACAGACACCACATCCTTGGACAGCCCTGTCCCACATCCTACACTGTGCTCCACAGAGACTGCACGTCTGAAGTGTCACTGACTGAAGAGGAACACGGGAACAGACTGGATGCATTCACCCCTTCCCTGAGCCTGTGCAGAGTGAGGTGGGCTTCACCTCACCTATCACCACTATGAAGCTGTGCAGGTCAGAAAAGAAGGCACACTTTACCTCAGGACAGGCAGACCCAGAGCTGGTGGATGGTTCATTAAACTGTTCCGTTTGCTTTTCCTCCTTTGTGTCTTGGTGTTCCACTCCACTTTCTTTTTTTATTTCTTTTTTCTGCTCTTCACTTTCCTCAATCTTCAGGACAATCCCTTCATCTTCAAGAGAGTTCACTTTGGTCAAAGGAGGAACTGGAAGATACATACCCACATAAGTGAAAATACTGTGCCAGACAACATACAGGCCACCACAGATGTTCTCTCTGCTTCACAGTGCAGTGCTGGAGAGCACCTAGATCCCCTCATACACTGCAAGGTCCTGGATACACTCTAAGCTGTCCAAACACACAGTGACTGAGGTATAGAAAGAAACTGCTCCTTCTTTCACCATAGTCTCCTTCACCTCTCATACCCCATTCTAAAACACTCTGCTTCCCAAAATCTAGGAAGCCCTAGGAGAGGGAAGAGGGTATCACAGTTTAAGATCTGATTTGCTTTACCTGCTAATTGCGATGCATAAGCCCATAGGAAATGGCAATGCTTCATGCAGGCCTGGCACACCATTTCATGGAAGTCTCCACTTTCAGGGGGAACTGCACCAAGATGCTGTCAGAAACAAGCACACAGTAGTGAAGCATCTGCTGCAAATTAACAGACTCAACTCCAGGTTTAGAGGAAGGAAAACATCATCTGCCATCACATTTTCAGAACAAGCAAACACTTTTCCTAACTTTCTACAATGACCATTAGAACAATGTGAAGACTGGAAAGAGCTGATAAAAATTCCACGGAAAAACTCAAATAATTTTGTTTGTCTATACCCTTTTATGCCTTCCACATACCCAGAAATCTCATTTCTAAATAATATTCTGCTAAACTGTCCCAAACATAGGAAAGGTGAAGATAGCTCTTGCATACTGCACATTTCAACTCTTAAATGACTTTTTACAATTCCTTCCTTACATGTAAAAGATTGTAAAGCCTTCATACTGATAACATACGTAATTCAAGAATTAGCTCCCAAAGCTCTCCATAAACTGGTGAGAACTATTTGGGCAATCAAAAGCACTTAGTGGCTTTCTTTTTAAAAGCATTCCTTTAAAGTTCACAGTGTGCAGCACAAGAGTCTTCATTCCCACACTTACACAAAAGAATCCAACAGTTTATCTACAGAACACATAACTGAAGCCAATCATCATTTTTTACTACTCTTTGATCTTGCAACTTCAAACATGAAATTTCACTCGTGCCCTTCGAGGCACAAGAGGCTGAATTCTTACTGCTTACCCATTACGTAGGACACTCACCACAGTGCTGGGTTGCTTTTAAAACATTTTCCCAAAGTTCCAAATCAGGAACGAACAGCACATTAATGAATGTGCTACTTAAATGAATTAGAAGTTTAAAAGGCATTATTTTGAATGAAGAACTATTCAGGTAGTTGATAACGGTGTGCCTCAGTAAGAATCTTTTCCTCAGCGACTGTACTGATCTGAGTTTTCTAATTAAAGAGACAGCTATAAAGCTATTACTTTATTCCAAAGTGGTAACCTTCAAAAAGGTAGGACTCTTCCTAGTGTTTCTGGACTGGACAGCAGTGCAAGATTAGACTTTCAATGTTCCTTTGCATAGAATGAAAACAAATACCTTAAAACTCATGTAATACTCTGTTTTGAGAACCACAGCAAACTTCCCAAGTAAAAACAACCACACAAAACTAACCAGCACTAAGTCATTTCTGTGCAAATGGCAATTCTGCTATTTATGGTTTCCTTACCCTTCCATGGAACCAGTCTTCACAAACTATGCATTGGATCATCTCATCTGGAATCTAGATGAACAGTCACATTATTAGCATTAATAACAGCCTCCAGAATCTTTCACAAGCCTCAAACTGCAGTATTATATAAAGTCTGCTCGGGTGAATTGCATTTCCCTCTTCACCCCCCACAGGGAGCTGCCATTAATAAGTAGTTAGTGCTTCACCAGTCAGCTTGCTTCCCCCAGGTTCAACAGCTCATGTCATGTGTCATACTACTAAGGCTGAGGAAATTCCCATTTATTATTACAAAATGTTTTCCCAGCAGGGCAAGACTTTCTCACACAAAGAGCTGAAAAAAGTTAATACATTACTGGTATCTTTCTTCCTGTAAACAGAAATGCATGAACAGGCAGCTCAACAGAAGGAAGATACTGATACTCGTGATGTCAACAGGACTGTACAGCAATGCCAGAATCCGAACATAACTGGTCACGATGCAGCACAGTACAAACTGCTTTGTTATGAAACAATTATTAATGACTTCCTCAGAGATGTTTAGCTATCTCTGCACTTCACAGAGGTGAGTTTATAAAATACTTTTGTTCGTATGTGAAAGACTTGTGCCTTCCTTATTCTTTAAAACACCTGACTTCTCTGACTGCAAACAGCACATGCAAACCCAGTGCTGTGTTTTAGTACTTCAAACAGACAAAAAATGTTCTGGCTACTGTAAAGGAAAGCTAAAGCCAGTGCTACAAGACAGACTCTCCCCATCCCAGAAGCCTTGTGAGAGCACAGCTGCAGGCACCAGAAGCAGGTTCTGGTCTCTCCTAGCATGTGCAATGTGCTTATTCTGCACTCACATGTTTCTCAAGATGATGAGAAACCCATCCCCTGAGGGAACTCTACAACTCCAGAGAGGGGAAAGCAGAGAACTGCAGCACAACTTTGTCCAAATGATGGTTTGTCCTCCTCATCAGCCTTTAAGGCATATACATATTTTACCATTAAAAAAAAAAGAAAATAATTAATTACCTTTATATAGCACATGACAACCAATATGGAACTTAAGATTTCTTAAAGTGGGATCTTCCTTACGAAGCAGCTCAGTGACCACTCTTTACACAGTATCTTGCATAAATACCATCTATATACGACTGCTACTGTGGTTTGTATTTCTTACCTCATCTTCAGGATCAGGATAAGGTCTTTTACAAGTACAGTATAATCCGTAGAAATTGTCATTATATTTATTTCCTGCATTCACCTTGCCCTTTTCCTGGGAGGAAGGAAGAAGTGTCTTAACAGACAATGCAGTGAAAAACAAAAGACAGAAAATATGCATAATCTGGAAAAACCCAATTTCTGTTCCACCTTAATTCCTAAAAGCAATCATCACATTCATCAGCCTGAATATCCAAGAAGAAACATATTATCCAGGCACCTGTGCTGTAAAGTGAGCAACAAATAGGGCATGTGAGGAACGCTGAAGTTGAAAAGCAAAGAGGAAAAACAGTCTGCCCACCTTTGTAACAACTGGCAACTGTGGTGTCAGACAGATTTATGGACAAATGCTGAAGTTCACTTAACCTGTACAGCTGATTTTGCACTGGACTGATGCAGAAGGAAAAACCACTTGATCCACTTCACTAAATGGATTCATTTAAATGAGAAACGGTAACATGTTAAACTTGTCACACCTGTCTCTGCAGGGATCACTGCACTGCAGCTTAGCTGACTAGCTCTGGATTCCTCCCAGTTCTCCTAGAATAAAACGGACATACACAAAACCACTGCCTGTTTCTACATTTGGACTGTTATTATCCTGGGAGCAACACTGCAGGCAAGCTAAGCAGCGTCCTGTCACTGCTTCACAGATTACCAACTACTTGGCAAGTTCAAAACACCCACCAAGTATGAAAGCATAGGCACCTTAATACAGTAAAAAACATCAGTAGGCTCTGGTGACAACCTGTCAAAAAATATTAGGGCACTAATGCCACCACAAAGAAGGAAAGGAAACTGTCCCTTTGACAGTAGCACAGCCTTAAATCTCCTTAACGCAACTGTAAAACTGCAGCCCGAAAGATTCTTCTGAAACCAGCTTAAAACTAATGAGATATATTAGTGCAGACGCCTCAACATGCTGCTGGCAGCACAGCAATTGCTGCATTCACGGATGACAAGGACCAAACGTTCCCTCTCCTCCCAACATTTCCCTTTGGTCCCTCAACAGTTTTATCTCCTGCTGTAATACTCCCTCCTTTCTTAACTTGCTAGGAAGGCTGGAGGCGTCGCATGAGTCAGCACCGGCTGAGGCGAGGCACCAGCCTCCCAGGAGCGTGTTATTTTGACTCTGAACGTCTGAAAACCCGCCTGAACTCACCGGGAGTAATTTGCACTGCAGATTCTTGAACTTGCTATTCCCACAGTCACAGCGGAAATTCCTGGAAAGAAAAACGCAGCGTTTCAGGGGGGTTTATTAACCGAAAACGCACTGGGTTTTGTGTTCATAACAATTCCCAGGAGTTTATTGGGAGCCATGGGAGCTGTGAGGGACCCGCTGGCGGCTGAGGGGGCGCGTGCTCCCCACCCGCCTCCGCAGCGCGCGCGCTTCCCGCCGCCGGCAGGCGAGCCCCGCCCCTCTCCCTTCACCCCCGTCCCGTCCCGTCCCGTCCCGTCCCGTCCCGTCCCGTCCGTACCTCTTCGTGTACAGCTCGAAGAGCCGGTGCGTGCCGTGGCACTCGTAGCTGCAGGCCAGGCAGATCCCCGCCGGCTCCGCGCCGGGCGGCGTGCAGGTGCTGCAGGCGTACAGCGCCTGCCGCTTCACCGCGCCCTGCGGGAGACACCGACCGACCACCCGCGGGATGAGGGGGCGCCGGGGGGAGAAGGGAGGGACAGCCCCGCCCCGCCCCCCGCCCCTCTGCCCCACCCCGCCCCCGGCCCCGCCCACTTCCCCAGCCCGCGGCCCCCCCCGGCCCCGCCCCCACCTGTGAGTAGCTGCAGCGCTCGTGGTCGCTGCCCCCTAGCACGGCCCGCGCTTCCTTCTCCAGCTCCTCGTTCTCCGCCAGCACCTCCGCGAGGGACACCACGGGCTCCTCGGCGCCGCTGCCGCCGCCGCTGCCCGGCTCGGCGCCCTCGGGAGCCGCCGCCTCCATGTCCGGGCTGCGCGGGCCGCGAAGCGCGGCGGGAAACGCGGGCGCGGGGAGGCGCCAGGGGGCGCCACGGCGGAAGCGGAATCGCGCGCGCCCCACGTGACCGAGGGCGGTTCGTCGGGGCCGGGCGCGCGGCGGGCACGTGACCGGCGGGGCGGGGCGGGCCCGGCACGTGAGCGGAGAGGCGGCAATGGCGGAGCCGGCGGCCGGCACCGAGCTGGTGGCGGAGCTGCGCGGCCGCGACGGGCGGACGCGGACGGTGCGAGTGCCGTACCCGGCGGCGGAGGGGGGCGAGGCCGCGCAGCTGCGCGGGCTGCGAGGGGCCTTGTCCGAGCTGCAGGAGCGGGTGGTGGAGCTGCTTGCGCCGCTGGTGCAGGAGGAGCGGGAGGCGGCGGGCGGCGCGCGGCGCGGTGAGTGGCGGGGCGGGCGCGGCCGGGGCGCTCCGCCGGACACGGGACACCGCCCGCCGCTCACCCGCTACAACCCCGGCAGGCGCTCTCGGGGATGACGACGACGAGGAGGACGACGACGAAGAGGATGAAGGCGAGGACGAAAACAACGTGGACACGGCGGCGAGCGGCGATGACCCGCCCCCGAAGCGGACGAAGGTGCAGCAGCCGTGAGGGCGGCGCTGTGCTGCGGGTGTGCGCTCAGACAGCCCCGCTCCGCTGAACCGACTGTAAGTGCCCCGGGCCCGGTGTCCGGGACGGCTCCTACGGCGCTGCTGCTCCTGTTTTAAAACCGAAACGCCCATCCCAACACTGTTTTGATATGGAAGCCTTATGGAAAGGATGCGCCTGGGCGTGTTGTTTATGGGGTGACAGTGTTACACTGACAGTACTTTTTAGCCAAACTAGTTGACAAATACAAAACTTTTCTTAAAAGTCTGATTGCTACATGTTTTTATTGACTTCTTCCATGTCACAGTATTTCTTCATGTGACCTTAACTTTTAAAATAAAGCAATAAAGTCTGGAAAGTTATTTTGTCAAATATGAGCTTAAAATGGTACAAGAGAATTTGCATGGAGAGAAAGCAATATATGACCACTACAATATCGAAATTAAAAAACATGTGTAGGACTCTGTCTATTCGTGTACAATGGAAGATTATTTTTGCCTACCTGAAAGGCTTAGTCACCCATCAATCAAGTATTTTCCTGGAAGAAGTCAGACAAAGTAGATTGAAAGACTTGGGAATCTTGGTTTCAAAAATTCAGGTTTCATATTGGCCAGGAAAGTGACAAGTCAGTGTGACTTTGATAATTACTATTCCACAAGTCAAAAACCACTGTTTGTCCTAAGCCTGTTTTCTCCAAATAGCTTTTTTCCCCTCCCTCTTTTTTTCATGCAGCATTCAGTCTTTATAGACTTACTTCCCTCACTGAGTTTTACTCAGGTTGATTTTTAAGCTCATTTGGTAGCTAAATCAAGGGAACATCACAGCTTAATATTCTCCTAATGCAGAACTCCTAACATTACCTAAAAACAAGAAAAAAGAAAGCAGAGTGATTTTTCTGAAAAGCTTTCTAAAACCAAAATTGGACATAAACTAAGGGAAATGTAGTGGTGTTCTACATTGGTTGCTGTAGTTTATTTTAGAGGAGGAGAAGGTCTAAATACTTGAGCAACACCTGTGAGTACATTATGTGTAACAGTTCTTGGCTGTATGAATCAGCATAACCCAATCCCTCTGCTAAGCAGCATGATCTTTTTTTAATGATAATGCAGCATGTCATTAGTGTAACAATCTTCTTGCAAGGGGCAAGTTGTCAATGCTGCTTTAGTTCCTAGTTTTTGTTTGGTGCATGCTTCTGTGAACAGGCATAAAACACTCCTGATAGCCAGTCCATAGAGACTGAGTCTTCTCTCGCAGAAGTTAACTGCCTGACTTAATAGTAGAAAAAACATTTTGGGGGTTAATTTGCATGTGTTCTGCTGACATAATTTTTTTATGTATTATGGAAAGTGAGCAAATCTTGGGACTTGTATACAGAGGACAAAATAATAATAATAAAATTAATAATTTTTATGAGGACAAAATTGTCTGCATTCATTTGAAATGGTGGGAGGAGGGGAGTCAGAAATGAGGTCCAGTAAACGTATCATTGACATCTTTATGTACTCTTATTCTAAGAAAGTATTTTATTGGCAGATAGGACAGTCATATCTAAGGAGAAAAGACCAACTCGGAAGACTAGGGAGGTTTAGTTGCTGAGGACCTAGGGTGAGAGAGTATTACACAAATTAATTCTGATTTTTTGTCAAGCTGCAAAATCTTAAAATGATAAAATGCTTAAAGTGTTCTGGGGTAGATAATTTATTGCAGGAAGTGGCTTATCAAAATGGTAAAGGCAACGCTTAGTACAAAAAAATAGCCTCATCTTTTATGAGCTCTGTTCTGCAGCTTTGGAAGCTTGTTGTACAGCTACATCTGAGAGCAGCATTTTCCCTTTTCTTTCCTTGTCCCCCCTGCAGACTTAACACCCCAGCAATGGTTTGAACTGTGTGAGGGCTGAAAAGCAACGTTTAATGTTAGGCAAGAATCTGTGGCCTTTACATATATGTAAGCAGTCCACTGGCACATCAAGGGCTGAAAACCTCTGGTCTAAAGCAACAAACCCTAACTTTACTCCTAAATGCAGGTAACACTCCAGTAATGGGATACTTTTTTCTGTCAGCCTGGACACAGGAATGTGCTGCACCTGAGCTCCGGAAGATACTGATGAACATGGGGTCAAAAACAACCACTCAAGTTTCTGCCTTTTAAGAATCTTTTCTAGTCCTTATTGTAGCCACAGAAACTTTCATGGGATGAAAAGGGCACTGGAACTTCATGGGACCTTATGCAATTCTAAACTGTAAGTTTGCTTGTGACTGAAGTGCCCTAAACAGAGAACTTCATTTTTCTGGGAGTTGTTGCAACGTTACCTGGCACAGGAAACTTCAGCGTGATGCGGTTTCCCACTCTCCCAACCCCTTTCAGGACTCACCCTACAGCTGAGTTCTGAACCCCTTCTAGGGAGCCCCTAAATCACCTGTGGCCCCTGCATTGTAGGTAGAGGAGGTAAGCTCTGATGGAAGAGTGATGGCAAATCCTTTATCTCAAGAGACATGTAGTGCTTTTGTACCTAGCCAAATTTCAGGCTGACACAGAACAAGCTCAGTTCACCACACCTGCACTGTTTAGTGCAGTTTGTATGCCTTACTAATAGAAGTTGGTTTTACTAGCCTGACGGGGGCTCAACGGATTTCCTTACTAAAATAAAGGGGGAGAATGCTGGTATGTTTGTATTGAATTAAGAGCTGAAGTGATACTAAACTCCTGGGAGCATTTAGATGAGAACCAACTACTTTTACTAGTTACAAAACAGAACAGCAAAAATGTCAAAGACTGGGATTATGACATACTGTTGTTACTTCTTTCAAATACTGAATTTGCTGGTTCAAACAACTTTGAGGCTAAATCCACAAAGGAATTTAACAGGTTGCAGTGTTCTGTGTTTAAAAAGTTTAAAATCACAAGTATATTTATGAGGCACACAGTTCTGTGAGGGAAAGGGGCCAATCCCATTATGCCCAATAACTGGGGCATTGTCTAAAACTGCAAGACCTTTTCTAGTTCCCAGGAGAAAGGTCCACTGTCATCATTTTCATTAAAGGGTTTGAATGCAATTCACCCATTGCAGCCCCTATGTAATTCCCACTCACTCAAGCTTAAAAGTTCATTTATACACAATGTATTACAAATATCAGGTTCTCTATAAAATACAGAGTAATCTGGCAGTTAGGACATCATGGGGCTTAACATGTGGTAAAGAGGCTAACACTCAGGGGTGTAAACAACTCAAGAGTGGTTTTGGGCCTATCTCGTATTGGCCTTTTCAGCCACCAACGCAATTGCAACAAATGTGGGTAGAGCTTCCCAAATCTTCGTTTGCGAAGCCCAGCCATGATGGTTTTGGGCACAACCACTAGCCAAATGTATTAGTCATGAGTACTACTCACTTTGAGGACCGACTTGAGCAGAAGTACCTTCTTATGGCTGTAGCATGTTCTTTCTTCCCAGAAGAAACCTGCACCATAGGGTTAGCCTTAAGGAGAGCTAAGATGAGTCCGTTCTTAAAATTTAACTACGTGATAAAGTTATTAAACTGCTTTCATGCATTAGGTCATATATAGAAAACAGGTTCTCAAAGACTGGCACATGAAAAGCAGCATTTTTTTAGAATCTAATAGAATAATCAACTAGAGAACATCCATTTAAGAAAACAATGGACTAGGCAAGAGAAAATATGGGGAGTTAATAGGTATCCTGCACAAACTGGAAAGTTTTGTTCCAGGGATAAGTCAATCTTTATATTTTTAATTAAAAACCAAGCTTGCAGTTTTACTTTGCTGCTGGAAGAGACATGTCATAAGGAACATATTTATTGCAACTTACTTTGGTCCCAAGTTTGAAGGGCTGCAGCCTGATGCTATGCTCTTCATTAGACCTGCTCCCCCATGGCAGGAAGTGAAGAACAGGCTCAGTAGCACTCACAAACACATACGTGGCAGACAGGAAGGCACTGTCAGGTGAAGGTCAAGCAGCTAAAGAAACTGAGACTGCCCACGTGATGTTCAAGCAGTCTGCCAATGCTTTATCTTGAGACAAAATGCAATAAAAAGAAATCCAGGGTAGGTGGCACACAGACGAATATTAATCACCCTTGTGCTACAACTACTCACTTTGCTGGCAGAAAGTTAAAGCTCTGAATGATTACTAAGCTAGTAGAGTTTAGCAATCTTCTGAGGACTTTGTTACTGCTTCTATTATTTCAGCTTCTGCTGTAGGAAGCTCTTCAAGATCAGGTTCGAGGTAACTCATTTTCAGTCAAAAGACTATGAGTAAAAATAGCTTTCCCACCCCAAGTGAAAGTTACAGCAATTCATCTTTACTGCCTAGTCAGTGAAAACAACTAAACAGATTTGTATAAGCAAGTTCTAGCATAAGCTAATCTTATACTAGATTAATGCCACTGCCCTAGAAACATACTT